AAAAAAAAAAGTATTTATCTTTCAAAGATAAATGCTGCAATACTTACGGATGAAATGATATAGCTCCTAAAATTTGCTTTAAAATAATACAGAAGAAAGTATGCATTAATGAACACAGCTATGATTTAATAAAAAAAAGAAAGAAAGAAAGAAAGTAGATGGATTACAGAGAAAACAAACTTTTCTATGATTTGATAATTTTTGAAGGCAGATGAAGGGTATACAGGGGGTGATATATGTTTGAAGTTTTCCACAATTAAATCCACAAAATCAAGAATTCTTAAGCCAGGTGCAGTGGTGAGCACCTACAGTCCAATCTCCTTGCAAGGTTGAGGCAGGAGGACTGCTTAGGAGTTCTAGACCAGCCTGGGCAACACAGCAAGACCTAACACTTTTTTTAAAAATCTAGAATTTTTTAGTTGTTACCAGTGAGAGGGTTAACTCAGATTCTTAGCACTCCATATCCCCAAGATCATACCTTTTGATTTACCCCCAGAATTAAACAGTTATGTTTTTTGTCTGCCCTACAATTGTTTTCGATAGTTATCAAGAATTCATTCCCATTCCTTTACTCCTCTTTGATCATGTTTGCAATTGTTTTCCAATTATTGACTGAAACATAAACTTTTTTTCTTTTTAGGAGCAGTAAGGACATTAACTCTAATCTTCATATCTGTGCAACATTTTATTTGTCTTACATTAGCACATTCCAAAATTTAAAAGAAAAGCTGTTTTGTGGATAGAATATATGGACAAGGCTATTAAATATCAAAGAAAATATGAACCATTCCTTTTAAAAGATAGTTGTGATTCTAACATTGTAAATAAATTTTTAAACAAAATTCTTAATCACTTTTAAGAATTTAATACTGATTAAATTTTTACCTGAAAAAAAGAAAATTAGAAGAAAAAAACCCCACAATATTAAAATCATTCTTTACCCAGTCTGTAGTAAAAGGAGCTCCATTTGCCATCAAAATACGAACTTCATCATCTTGACCTGCTCGTGCCGCTTCTAAAAGCTTCTTTCCCAAATCTACCAGGGACATCTAAACAAAACATAGATGTACTGAACGTTAAAATCTCTACTTATATATTATGACATGACTTTTTTCCTTTCCAGTATTTATTAATAAGTCAATTCTCAATTATCCCTTCAAAAGGTTGTGGTATGTTTAAAAGATCACACAAAAGCAGTTTTTATTTGGATTTTTATAATAGATGTTTCCTTTCTCATTAAAAGTTTCTTTTTTAATTTCAGAATGTTACTGGGGTACACAAGTTTCAGTTACCAAATTTGCTTTTGTACATTTTAAGTCGAAGTTATATAAATGTGTCCTTCACCCAGAATGCGTGCACTGCACAAGTGTGAATTAACCTGCCCTCTCCTTCTCCACTCCCACCTACTTCATTCTGTTGAGTTTTATATTCGTATGTGCACCTAAATGTTAAGGGCCTAGTTCTAATTTAGTATTGAGCACATGTGTTTTCTTGTTTTTGGTTTTTTTTACCATTCTTGCCATACTTCACTTAGAAGAATGGTCTCTTGTTTCATCCAGGTTGCTACAAAAAATACTAAGTCACCTTTTTATGGCTGAGTAGTACTCCATGGTGTGCATATGTCGTATTTTATTAATTTACTCATTTATAGATGGGCGTTTGGGTTGTTTCCACATCTTTGCAATTATCAATTATGCTGCTATAAACATTTGAGCATAAATGTCTTTATGATAAAATGTCCTTTCAAAACAGCAATAGAACTTACTGGCACAAAAACAAGAGACCTATGGATCAGAACAGAGAACCCAAGGATGAAACCATCCTCATATTCCCATGTGATTTTTGATAAAGCAGATAAAAACCTTCCCTGGGGAAAAGAATCACTATTCAATAAATGGTGCTGAGAAAACTGGATAGCCACGTGTCAAAGTCTTAAACAGGATCCACATCTCTCAGCACTCATAAAAATTAATTCACAATGTTTAGAAGACTTAAACATAAGGCATAAAACTAAGAATTCTAAAATAAATTGTTGGAAAAACTCTTACAGATATTGGCTTAGGGAAAGAATTTATGAAGAAGACTCCAAAAAAAATCACAGCTATAACAAAAATAAACAAACGAGGCCTGATCAAATAAAAAAGTTTCTGTACAGCCAAGGACAATAGAGTAGTAAATCAATAGAGTAAATAGACAACTCACAGAAAGGGAAAAAATATTTGCATGCTATACACGTACATCTGATAAAGGGCTGATATCCAGAACCAACAAAGAACTCAAGCAAATCAACAAGAAAAAACATCAAACGGGCAGCGCCTGTTGCTCAGTGGGTAGGATGGTGGCCCCATATACCGAGGGTGGTGGGTTCAAACCTGGCCCTGGCCAAACGGCAACAAAAAATAGCCAGGCGTTGTGGCGGGCGCCTGTAGTCCCAGCTACTTGGGAGGCTAAGCCAAGAGAATCACCTAAGCCCAGGAGTTAGAGGTTGCTGTGAGCTGTGACTCCACGACACTCTACCAAAGGCCACAAAGTGAGACTCTGTCTCAAAAAGAAAAAAAAAAAACCATCAAACAAGCTCATTAAAAAGTGGATACTGGACAAGAACAGACTTTTTCTTTTTTTTTTTGAGACAGAGTCTCACTTTGTGGCCCTTGGTAGAGGGCTATGGTGTCTCAGCTCACAATAACCTCAAACTCTTGGGCTCAAGTGATTCTCTTGCCTCAGCCTCCCAAGTAGCTGAGACTATAGGTGCCTGCCTGCCACAACGCCTGGCTATTTTTAGAGATGGGGGTCTGTCTCTAGCTCAGACTGGTCTCGAACTCAAGAGCTTAAGCAATCCGCCTGCCTTGGTCTCCCAGAATGCTAAGATTATAGGCATGAGCCCCTTTGCATGGCCTGAATAAAAACTTTTCAAATGAAAACAGTTCAATGGCCAACAAACACATGAAAACAAACAAAAAAAAACCGCTCAACATCTCTAATCATCAGGGAAATGCAAATCAAAACTATAATGACAGCTCAGCACGGATGAGGAGAAAAAGTCCCACACACTTTTGGTGGGACTGTAGAATAACTCAACCTCTGTGGAAAGCAGAATAGAGATACCTCAAATATCTATTTGAACTGGCAGTTCCACTAGTAGGTATTTACCCAAAGGAAAAAAGAACATTTTTCATTAAGTTTTAACTTAGAAAAAAGTTACTTTGAATTTTCCAAATAGAGCTGGTAAAAGAAAAGGTAAATAGCAGAGAAAAACTTGTAAGATTTTAAACTGGCAACTAATTGTTTTCACTGAAGGAGTTACAGCAATAAAATTTTTCATAAAAGGGCAGCACCTGGCTCGGCGCCTGTGGCTCAAGCGGCTAAGGCGCCAGCCACATACACCTAAGGTGGCGGGTTCGAATCCCCAGCCCGGGCCTGCCAAACAACAACAATGGCTGCAACCAAAAAATGGCCAGGCATTGTGGCGGGCGCCTGTTGTCCCAGCTACTTGGGAGGCTGAGGCAGGAGACTCGCTTGAGCCCAGGAGTTGGAGTTTGCTGTGAGCATGATGCCATGGCACTCTACCCAGGGGGATAGCTTGAGGCTCCGTCTCAAAAAAAAAAAAAAAAAGGGCAGCACCTGTGGCTCAGTGGGTAGGGTCCCAGCCCCATGTACCGAGGGTGGCATGTTCAAACCCGGCCCCCGCTGAACTGCAACAAATAAAAAAATAGCCAGGCGTTGTGGAGGGTGTCTGTGGTCCCAGCTGCTTGGGAGGCTGAGGCAAGAAAACTGCCTAGGCTCAGGAGTTGGAGGTTGCTGTGAGCAGTGTGACACCATGGCACTCTACTGAGGGCGATAAAGTGAGACTTTGTCTCTACAAAAAAAAAAAATGTTTTTTTCCTAAAAGGCACAAGATAGGCTCGGCGCCTGTGGCTCAAGTGGCTAAGGCGCCAGCCACATACACCTAAGATGGCGGGTTCGAATCCAGCTGGGCCTGCCAAACAACAATGATGGCTGCAACCAAAAAATGGCCAGGCGTTGTGGCAGGCGTCTATAGTCCCAGCTACTTGGGAGGCTGAGGCAGGAGACTCGCTTGAGCCCAGGAGTTGGAGGTTGCTGTGAGCCGTGATGCCATGGCATTCTACCCAGGGCGACAGCTTGAGGCTCTGTCTCAAAAAAAAAAAAAAAGGCACAAGATATTGTTCTCTGTTCCTGTCCAAGCTTGGACAATAATTAAATGTAAAGTACATGTCCAAAACAGGCATTAGTCACAAGGTAGCAAACAATTTCTTAGAGTTGGTCCACTTGCAAAAATAAAAAGAATGAGTAATATATAATGAAGAATAAGAACCACCACCACATGCACTTGTGAGTTTTATGCGGTTCTTTTCTTTTCTTTTAAAGATTTTTTTTTAATTATTATTATTTTTTGTTTGCAGTTTTTAGCCGGGGCCGGGTTTGAACCCCCTACCTCCAGCATAGGGAGCTCGTGGCCTACTCCTTTGAGCCACAGGCGCTGCCCTGTGGTTCTTTTCTTAATGTGCTTTTTTATGGTACTCCCAACACTTTCACCTTGAACTTCTGATATCCTTTCCTTTTTCTTCCGTTCTCTCCTACCTTGGTGGAGTCACAAGAATGCCAGTTAGTGCTATTCAGGGAACTAACATTTAAAGGGATTACTGATCTCCGATAAAGGATTTTTTCCTAAGTAAGATAGTAGCCAGATGTAAAAATTAACATCCTATTCAACAAACATAGAACATGCAGTAATAATTTCCCATTAAAGACAGGGTAAGGCAAAACAAATAACAAAAAAAAACCCAAAAAATTTCTGATCATTCTCCTATAGAAGTACAATAAAATCTAAACCAGCCAACACTAACATATTCAGAGTTGTTTATACTGTGGATAACCAAAATTTAATATAAATCTGGCTTTATAATGAAATATCTTTACAAATATTTTTCACAGGTAATATATAATCAGTTTGCATTCATTCAGTATGCATACTAACAGATGATTTAGAGACCTGGTCACCTTTTATGCCAGTTTAGGCCTTTCCCCATATTTTAAATTTGGGTTGTCATGTCTTTTTCTTACTGATTTGTGAATGTTCTTATATACATTCTGGATGACTCTCTTGTCAAATATAATAAGTATTATAAATATCTCTTTCCAGAACCCTGATTTCCTGAGTTCCTGTACCATACTCTTTTTTTAATATCACGCACTATCTTTAATGGGTAGATAATTGTTCAGTCTCATAAAAATGTGAAACTCCTATGTTTTATTTTATTTTATTTT